AGGACAGCAACTTTTTTTTTATAAAAATGCATAAAAATGAAATAAAGTTAACAGAAACAAAATGATGCAATAGTTGATGTTTCTATAATATGAACAAAATGAATGCAAAACAATCAGATCAGATGATATGTGGGTAAAATGATTACATAGCATAKTATAGACTGATTAGTCAAATGATTCATTAGGGAATTTTATTCAAATGTCATCTAAATTAAAAATAGTTTACATAAATCCCACAACTTGAGAGCAAACTACAGTAAAAGTAGACTTGGAAAGTCCAAACTGATTATATTACTTTTCAGTAATTGGCTACATGTTAGTCCTTAATTACTATTTTTTAACCAAATTGGTAATGTCTGAACCTTAACCTTGAAAAAAAAACAACACTTTTGAATGCAATTAAACAAAAGACTGAAGTCAAAGGACATTTTGTGAATGTAGAAGTTCAGTCTTTCATCAAAATAGACCCCATAAACTGTCTTTTTGTTCTGAGACAAAGTGTGTATTTTAAATTTTAGAACTGGCAAATGTTCTTGTTTGTTTGACCTGTGTTGTGCCTTTAACAAGCTGTGTGTGTGCTGCTTCAAGATTACAGCCTCCTGATTATTAACAGTTCCACTTGTTTGCAACTCTCCACTAATTTGTGCTGCTCGGGTCATAATTAAAACAAGATAAATGTGATTGTTGCACAGTGCTGTTTAAGGACTTCATCCAATAAACTGGACACTCCCATAGGTGTTATTTATAATTCACAAACAGCGATTCATTTGAAAGGTTTGACAAATAGGCTTTTTAGTGTAGTCGCAGTGGTGGTGAWGACTTAAAGGGAGGGTATTATGTATTTTCAAGATGCATAGTTCAGTTCTATACCACTATCAAGTAACTGTTACCTTCAGTTGTAATGGAAATGTTAAAAAAAATGCCTTTAAGATAGTCTCTGCCTCTTTGTGATTTGCACCATTCCCACTTCAGCACATCTTCACAATAATGCTTCATGTCATTCATAAACTTTGTAAGAGTCTCCTTGGCATCCAAAATAACATTTTCTTTACAAAGGTATTTTTTTATTCCAAAAACGAACTGGACCGAGAAGGAGTACATTACAGTATTACAAGCTCAACAGGTGGAGTTGTGTGGGGGAGGTCCAGGGAGGAGCTTTGTGTAAATAGGCGGTGCTTTGTACCAACGCACATTTAGGTGGTTCCACATGGCTACAAGACATTCAAGGATTCCTCAAACATGCATGAATGAGTCAAAGCAGCACTCTGGGTATATTTTGATGAGGGAATGACATTATGACATTTTTCAGTGGTAAAACACAGATCCTACATCTTCCTTTTTTGCACGTCACGACTCAAGTCAGGCCCGATATGCCATCACTGTGCATTAGTGTCATATGTGAGAGTAAAGAGGTGGCATGTACAAGTGTAGCCACTGACATGCCTCTGAGCCATCAATGGAAGCACAGCTCAACATGCATGTTTGAAGTAACAAGCACTAAATGCAACAACTGCACTGATGTTACTTAGTTTGTTAGGAAAATGTTTGTTTCCAGCCCTTTCAGCATAAAATACCCCCCAAAAATGGAGGCAATTTAATTTTTTTAAGTTAAACTTGTAACCCTGTTGTTATATACTGTATTTTCCGGAATTTAAGTCACACTTTTTCATAATTTGGCTAGTCCTCCACTTATAGTCAGTTGCAACCTATATACTGTATGTTTTGACTGATGCAACTTATATTCCGGAAATTACAGTATTATCCACAAACTTATGTGATTATTACAAATATCAGCAACAAACAAGCAAAAACACTTTAAAGGGGCCATATTATGTGTTTCTCAGGCATATATTTAAATACTATACCATAATAAAGTTTCTATCTCACCTTTAGTTCTTATTAAAATGCTGTTTTTAAGTTTAAATAGAAAACAAACTTATCTTCTCATCACTTCCTCTTCTAAACGCCTTGAAATTGACCTGTCTCTTTAAGAACCACCTTCTGCTTCTGTCCCGCCCATTTCAGTGTGGGGAGGGGGGGGTTCACGCATGCGCTATGATGCAGTTTACTTGGCATCTGAAAATACATTTCCTCAAAGGTATTTTGAGTCTGAAAAGATCTTCACTGAGTGAGAAGTAGTGTTGAGAGCAGCAGCCAGTTTAAGTTTCACTTTCACTTTCACTCGTTTGCTTTGTTACTGCCGAGAGCCTACAGGAGTCATGGGCGGGATGTGTGAGGTGGGGGGAGGGGGTGCACTCTGCCATGAAGAAGCTCGGCTTAAGGACACATCCCAGAGGCATTTCTGGTCCCCACCTGTTGTTTTGCTCCTCAGCATGGCTGCCTAAAAACGCTGCAGGATTTCTCAGACATGATTGAATGAGTCAGAGTAAGGCTTTGGGCATGTTTTTTTTATGAG